ATTATATATTATAATATAATATATAAATTATATATTATATTATAATATATAATACAATATAATATAACATGATATAATATGATATAATATGATATAATATGATATAATATAATATAATATAATATAATATAATATAATATAATATAATATATTATTTCATAATATAATACAATATAATATAATACAGTATAGTATAATATAATATATTACAATATAATATAATATAATATAATATAATATAATATAATATAAAATTATATGATATAATATAATATGATATAAGATAAGATAAGATAAGATAAGATAATATCATATCATATAACATTATATTATATATAGTATAGTATATTATACTATACTATGCTATACTATACTATACTATACTATACTTTATTATAAAGGCGAAGAGGTCCGTCAGCTCTTTCGTTTCAACAGCGCCTCTTCCCCAGGAAGCAACCAGAAAGTCTTGTTCTCCACGCCCATGAAGAAGGTTGCGTGCAAGGAAGATGTTTTGACACAGATTTCTTGCACAAACCGTCGTGCTTCTTTCGCAAACCACGGCCAGTGGATTTGCAATGAGTGGGCAGGTGCTGGAGAAGGTGGAAACGCGCATCAAAACCGCCCAGAAGCGGCTTGTTGCAATAGCAGGATGCCCAACCGCGCAGCCGTTGAACATACACTGCCGGAGCTGTGCAAGGATTCTGCAGTGTTTCCAGCGACAGCGTGTGGCACAACAGCGTCTTCCGATGCTGGTCACAAAGGAAGCTGGATCGCATCAAGATCGCTCAGAAGGAGTTGCGCGAAAGGGAGACAAGCACGGCTTTGGCAGCTCGGTGTAAGAGAGATGTGGGCAGGGCATTGCAGAGCGAGAGCCGGAAGCTTCAGGTCAGTGATGTGGCCGAGAAGATGGACTCCGTCGCGAAGGCCGTGCCGTCAGCTGCCGCTGAGAAGGTGGAGCTTAGAGGCCTGAAACGTGCGCAGGCGATAAAGGAAGCGAAGACGGCAGTGGATGAGGCGCAGGGAGAAGAGGAGGACACAAGTGACCCAAGCACGGCAACTTCGTGACCTGATGTTCTCGCAAACCCTTTTTATGTCCTTTGCCCAAGGAGGCTTTGAAGACTGCTGGCAGGGCCGCAGCATTGGCAAAGGTTGCTATCTCCATGTGGCCTGGCCATGTGAAGTTTCTTACCCCGCTCCAAGCATAGGTAGGTAGGAGGGTAGGCAGGTGTCTACAGACAGATGCACATACATACGTGCATACAAACAGACATGTATGCATATCTGTCCGTGTGGGTGTGTGTGTGGGCTCGCACCGAATCCCTGAGTTTATTGTGGGCCCCGCCCAGGAAACTGCTGGAGGTGAAGCGCTTCACTGCTGAGGTGCAGCTTTTTTAGGGTTTCGTAGTTTGGTTCCAGCGGAACCAGCGACGCAGACTCGGCTGCCGGTCCCCCCAGGCAGGAATCCAGGCGCAGCGAAGCTTACAGGAGCACCAGCAGACCCTGCACGGGCCTGAGCGAGGGATTCCCACTCTGATCCTGTTGTTGTTGTTGTCGTTGTTGCTAGTCCATTGAAGGAGCGGTTGGTGTCGAGGGGATCTCCGCCAGACCCTGCAAAAACAGCAGAAACCATGTCACGCGCTGTGCACATTTGAAGGATGTTGAGTCATTGACGTATGGTCGTCTCAGTCTCCTCTGCACCACCCCTACGATGCTGGCTCGTCCGAGCCATGCAGGAGGGCCAAAAACTAGACACTCGTATCCTAAAACCATCTCTTGCGCCCTCATAGAACCTAAATTCCAAACCCTAAACTCAGACGCCCCGTCTTGCCCAGTAGACCCGAGATTCAACCAACCCTACAATGCGGGGCTCGTCCTGGTTAACTAGGCGGGAGGCAAAAATCCACCGTATTCCCAAATCATTCCTGCCGCTTTTTGAGGCAAGGATCGCTCGCAGAGATCGAAGTTCTGAAGAAGAAGGCAGCGGAGCAGAAAGAGCGCCTCGGTGGGGTCTAGTCTCGTGCCTTGTGGGTCAAGCTGGGCAGTAAGGGCAGCAGTCGAGTCCCTTGTGAAAAAATAGGGGGGCTTCGGGGTGTGTAGTCTTGTGGGGAGGAAGCGCGCGGGGCTTGACAGGCCACTGAGCGCCCTGGAGAGAGAGAGGGTTTGTAGGGGTTTAGGGGTCGGGGGTTGACGGCTTTTGGGGTTGCTCCCTTGCTTGAGGTGTTTCTTGATGCTTGGCGCCCAGGGTATAAAAGCCTTAGGGTCGTCAGAGGCCTGGATGCTTCAAGGAAGGTTAAGGTTCACGTGCCGCTGTTTTGCGATGAGCCCTTATCGTAAACCCTGCCTTTTTGCCTCGAGCATTTGCAGCTCAAGCCCCTTTTCTCCGATCTCCAAAGCCTTGTGGAGACCTGGCAATGACAGGAAAGCTTCCCGCATCTGCGTCCAGCAATGGAGTGGCCGTCACGTTCAATAAGCTCACTTACTCCGTGCCTGTGAAGAAGTTCAAGGAGCGACATGCCATTCTGAAGGACCTCAGTGGAGCTTTCCAGCCCGGCCGGCTAACTGCACTGATGGGCCCCAGTGGTTCCGGCAAGACCACCTTGATGGACATTCTGGCGGGCCGCAAGAGCGGGGCCGGTCAGATTGATGGCGAGGTCCTCTACGGAGGCAGTGCGGCATCTGCCGGGGTGCTCAAGCATCTGTGTGGCTACGTGGAGCAGTTTGATACCCTGCTTGGCGAACTGACGGTCGACCAGATGCTTATGTACACAGCCGAGATGAAACTCCCTCGTGCCTTGCAGAAGGCGGACAAGCGGAAGCGAGTGGATTCCGTGATCAGTCAGCTGCGCCTGGAGAAGTGCCGCAACACCGTCATCGGCAATGTGCTACGACGAGGCATCTCCGGTGGTCAGGCCAAGCGGGTAAACGTCGCCCTCTCCTTGATCTCGCAGCCTTTGGTGGTATTCTTGGACGAGCCCACCTCTGGACTCGATTCGAAGATGGCAAATGAGGTGTGCTCCATTCTGAAGGAACTCGGCAAGGAAGGCTACACAATCGTGGCCACCATCCATTCCCCGACAAGCTATGCCTTTTCCCTGTTCGACGACCTCATGATGCTGCAGGCTGGAGGGGCCATGGTCTATGCCGGCAAGGTGGCTGACGTGAAATCGCACTTCGTCCACTGCGGCTATCCTTTCCCGGAAGAGCAAGGCTATTCCCTGCCAGATTGGCTGGTGGACACCACGAGCGGAGCTACTGGCTCACTCACAGATGCAGATGGTGCAGAGGACGGAACTGCGGCCACGGCGGACTTCTCACAGCTTTGGCTGAAGAGCCCTGCCAGCGAGGCTTATTCCAAAGATCTGAGCGAGACCTTTGCCAAACTGAAGGCCGAGCCACTATCGCTGAAGACCCTGCCAACTTCGGGGCCTGGACAGCTGCATGCTTTGAAGACCTTGCTGTCATACCGAATGTCGACTCACTACAGGGATGGGGAGTTCCTGGGCCCGCGCTTCGGGGACAAGATCTTCATGGCACTCCTTACACTGTCTCTTTACTGGGGCATTGGCAGCAAGAGCGACGCCCAGAGCATCCAATCAACCGCGGCGCTGCTGTTTTTCGTGTGCGCCCTTTGCGGCTATGGAGCTGCAGCCTATGTCCCATCTTTGACTCTGGAGCGAGCCCTCTTCTACCGCGAGCGAGCAGACGGCCTTTACACTGGCCTGACGTACTACGTCTACAAGTTCATTGAGGAGGCGGTGCTGTGCGTACTCACGAGCTTGGTCTTCACCATCTCCGTCTTCTACGCCATGGACCTGCAGGGAAGCCTGGCGATATTCACTGCAGCCTACTTCCTCACCGCCATGGTGGGCATCGTCCTGGCCTATGCCGTGGCGGCCGTGTCCCCTAACATGGAGGCCGCCAACGCCCTGCTCCCGACCTATGTCACTACATGCCTGTACTTTGGTGGGCTCTTCATCGTGTTCAACAAGATCCCCGTGGGATGGTACTGGTATTCCTGGACATCCTTCATGAGGTATTCATGGGCGGTGCTGATGCTCAACCAGTTCAAGGATTCGGACCTTGGAAAGCTGCAGGTCTTCTTTGAAGACGGACAACCAGTGACCATTTTGGAGTTCTATGGCATGGATGAGGGCATTATGGCCGACACTGGTTCTATGGTGGGTATTTTGGTGGGCCTGCTGTTCTTCTTTGCCATTCTGGGTGCGCTGGCGGTGACATTCATCTCCCATGTCAAGCGGTGATACGAAGAGGCATGGACTTGTTGGGTGCTGGCTGGTCGGCTGCCTCGAATAAACGTAGTGCGCCGGGCCGAACCCGTTCTCCTCATGGCAGGGGCTTGTTGGAATGTATGCCTGATGCCTCTTTCCTCTATGTATGTATCAATGCAACTATATTCCTTTCTTCGGTTTATGTTGTTTCCCCTATTGCCAGAGAGCCTGAACGAGGGTTCAGGGGTTTGGTGGCAGCGCTTCGGGCACCGCCCACCGTTTCCGGGCTGTTTGGTTGAATTTTCGGGGGGCCTTCTTTTCGGGCCAATACCTTATCGCTCCTCCTCCTGACTTTGCGCCGAGAGCGCCGGGATCAGGTGTGAGTGTTGATGCACTTGGGCATGATGTATTCCTTGGTAGAGGTCAGCAAGAGGAGGGGTTTACGTGATTTCCTGCTGCCAGCCGTCCGGTCGCTCAATCTTCTTGGGCCCCCGAGCATTTCCAGGTGTTTAGAGGGCTTGCGGTGTATATCCTGAGGTCCTAAACCCTGCATTCCTGGGCACGAAAACTGGACGGTGTGGTTTTTGCACATTTTCGGCTTGCCGAGCCTGCACCGACGAAGGGTACTTCGCACTATGACAGGAAATTTGCTTATCATGCGTGTTCAGAGGTTTAGCAAATGGAAAAAATAGAGGCCTTGGCCAGACAGAAGCCGGTAGGCCATGCGAGGTACCTGAAAGGCGTCTTGCCGTCTCCTTCTGTGGAGAGTCAGAAGCCACGAGAAGCTTGGGACTTTGCCCAGCTCTAGTTAGATAGTCCTCTTGCTTGCTGGGGTGTCCCCTGCCTGAGGCAGGGCCCCGGCAGACCTATTATAGAAATAAGAAAAGGAGAGACAAACAGATCCTGCGTCACGCCGACCCGTACCTACGGAACCTCGCCGCATTGTGAGAGCGTAAACCAGAAAGCCCTAAAGCCTGCTGGGAGCCAAGGGTGTCGAAGCGGAAGGAGGCCAACCGCAAGGTTGCTGAAGCGGAGGCTCTTGCGGAGAAGGCCCGTAGTTTGCGGGCTTTCTGGACACCAAACCGAAAGCCCTAAGCGAAGCCTTGCTTACTTGGGAGCTTGTTCTCTGAACTCTTCTCCTGGGTTTGCAATGAGTTTCATTCACTTTACCAGTGACCACATGCCACGCCTGTCCGAGTCTGAGCCCCGAAAGCCGAAACCCTAAGCCAGCTTGTGGTGTGACCTGGTCCGCCAAGCGGGTGGGAGAAAAGCCGACTTGAGGCCGACCAAACATCTGCACCCATCTTTGACGATGAGAAGCTAGCCACCATGTCCGCCCTGGCCGGGTCCTCGTTGCATCGGATTCTGTTTCAGGGAATCCCCCTTTCGTCGCAGTCCCGCGCGAATCTGAGGACATCCGGCAAGCCGGAGATGTGAACCAAAAGGCCTACAAGGTGGGATGTCAGTGAACCCCGAGCTTGCCAAGCACTCAGCAAGTACCAGGAGACGATCGATGCTGTCAACCAAGCGCAGCGCATGATCACGATGCTTCAGATAGAAGCCAAGAACAAGGACCGCCGTGAATCGTGATCTGCACCATGCCGGCCACGTGTAAGACGTGATTCTGAACCCAAGAAGTCTGGGATTCGCAGGAGAACGCAGCCGAGCTAGCGGCAGAGTATGCCAAGCTACAGGCACACAATTTCCATTCCTCAGATCTTTGGAAACGTGTTTTCGCCCGGTTTTAACGTTAAAGCAGCATCGTTCGGAGATTGCTTTTTGGCTAGTTACGGCTAGTTCTGCGCTCTGCAGGCCCGGCTTCGCCAGGCAGAAGCCAACGTCTCGCACTGCGCCTCCCTGCCGGAGCCCGTGCAGAAGCAGCTAGTCCTCAAAGGATTCATCGATGAGGCCGGCCGCCGAAGCGTTTAGGGTTTAGGGCTTAGGGGAGCATGGCGGAGCACTCAAACGTAACCAGGTGGAGTCGAAAGTGAAAGCCGCAGAGGGAAAGGTGGAGACCGCAGAGCAGCTGGGAAAGGAGGCAGAGGAGAAGCCTCTTCCGGAGCAGGTGCGCCCTGCGATCCTTGCAAAGGAGTTTGGAAAAAAATCCCATGCGTCCTATTCTTACTTCCTTTGAGCAGTGTGAGGAGGAGCCAGCAGTGCCCCAGGCTGGATGCTGGTGGTATGTAGATGGTGGTCTGGCGCGCTGCCAGAGCTTATGTGCTGTGCATGCAGGTCCAGAAGGCAACAGCAGCGAAATCGGCACCATGGTCGAAGGTCCAGCTCTGAAAAAGCGCAGAAGAGCACCCGAAGTTGGATTTGACCACATCCCGAACCAAGGGCAAGGGTGGAGGCAAACGTGACGAGAAGGAAGTGGTCTTAGGCTCCTGCAGCTGAGATGGGATCCCCATGACAAAGGGGCTTTTTTGCCCATATTTGCAACTTTGCGGCAGGGCCCGTGGACAAGGCCAAGGCTGCCATGGAGGTCGCCAAGATGGACCTGAAGCTGGCTTTGCGCTTCTTGGAGGACGGATGTTACCTTTGAGTGGCAGCTTTCGTACGAGAGTCATGGTCTGAAGGCCCACACCCAGCAAGGCAAGCTGCCGGAGGAGGACCCCCTTTTGCACTTCTCTGCACCAGCGCTCCTTTCGAATGCTTGGGATCTGTATTTTATGGGATCCTTCAGGGAGGGGGCTCTAAGGGGGGTACATAGCCCAACAATCCCCAATTGTCCCCAGGGCTCCCTTAGGTTCCCTAAAGCTCCCTAAGGAAGCCTAGGACCCTCCCCCCTTGAACCACCCCGCCTTAAGGACCATATAAGTATTGGGAGAAGATTGGATGCGAATGCTTTCTGACTGTCTGTCTGCCTGTGTCCCATTAAGAGTCGGTGCGTAGCTCTTCAGAAATAAACGGCTTCTCCCGGGGCTGCAAACAAAAAAGTTGCCCCCTCTGGATGACTGTGGGCCCTTGCAAGATCTTGCAACCGTTGTCCTGTCAGCTCGAGGCTGTCCACAGTTCGACTATCTCGGCATGATAGCTGGGAGTTGGTATACTGGATCGTCACACGTTGTGCGTCGGGGGGCCTGCTAAGACCATGAATGCTTACAGGGATGTGTGCAGAAGCAAACCTTTGAGCTACTTCTTGTTTCGCTTTGCTGCGGACCGAAATGCCTGCAAGTTCGATGCCGCTACCTAGTAAATGTTCCGCCGTGCTTGTGCAAGTCTGAGGAAAGGTGCTGACCTTAACCCCAAGCCCAAAAGCCCTCTACCTGGTACGTTCGGGGGATGTGACCCGTAACCCTGCGTCTGATTGAGCTGTGGAGTGGAGCAACCTACCTCCACTTGCAACAGCCTTGCCGAGATGCGAGTCCTGGCGACCCTTCTTTCGGGAATGCACCTCCTTCCAATTCTTCTTTCGGGAATCTTGGCTTCTTCCATCTTCTTCCAGTGCTGCGGGCTGCCAGCCCGCACCTCCTTCCAACCTTCTTCCAGTGCTGCGGGCTGCCAGCCCGCAGCTCTTTCCAACCTTGTTCCAGTGCTGCGGGCTGCCAGCCCGCACCTCGTTCCGACATTTTTTTGGGAAATTTTGACGTTGTCCAGTGCTGCGGGCTGCCAGCCCGCACCTCCTTCCACCTTCTTCCAGTGCGGCGGGCTGCCAGCCCGCGCCTCCTTCCGACATTTTTTTCGGGAAATTTTGACGATTTCCAGTGCTGCGGGCTGCCAGCCCGCAGCTCCTTCCAACCTTCTAGTGCTGCGGGCTGCCAGCCTGCAGCTCCTTCCGACACTTTTTTTCGAGAAATTTTGACATTGTCCAGTGCTGCGGGCTGCCAGCCCGAGCCTCCTTCCAACCTTCTTCCAGTGCTGCGGGCTGCCAGCCCGCAGCTCCTTCCGACATTTTTTTCGGGAAATTTTGACGTTTTCCAGTGCGGCGGGCTGCCAGCCCGCACCTCCTTCCAACCTTCTTCCAGTGCTGCGGGCTGGCAGCCCGCAGCACCTTCTGACATTTTATTCGAGAAAATTTTGACGTTTCCAGTGCTGCGGGCTGCCAGCCCGCATCTCTTTCCAACGTTCTTCCAGTGCTGCAGGCTGCCAGCCCGCAGCTCCTTCCGACATTTTTTTCGGGAAATTTTGACGTTGTCCAGTGCTGCGGGCTGCCAGCCCGCACCTCCTTCCAACCTTCTTCCAGTGCTGCGGGCTGCCAGCCCGCAGCTCCTTCCGACATTTTTGTCCGGAAATTTTGACGTTTTCCAGTGCGGCGGGCTGCCAGCCCGCACCTCCTTCCAACCTTCTTCCAGTGCTGCGGGCTGCCAGCCCGCAGCTCCTTCCGACACTTTTTTTCAGGAAATTTTGACGTTTTCCAGGGCTGCGGGCTGCCAGCCCGCACCTCCTTCCAACCTTCTTCCAGTGCGGCGGGCTGCCAGCCCGCAGCTCCTTCCGACATTTTTTTTCAGGAAATGTTGACGTTTTCCAGGGCTGCGGGCTGCCAGCCCGCACCTCCTTCCAACCTTCTTCCAGTGCGGCGGGCTGCCAGCCCGCAGCTCCTTCCGACATTTTTTCCGGGAAATTTTGACGTTTTTCAGTGCTGCGGGCTGCCAGCCTGGAGCTGCTTCCGAGACCTTGCTGGCTTATGCAGGCCTTCGGACACTTCTTTTGAAATTATTGATTCTTTCCAGTAAAGCGGGGGGCTTCCAGCCCACACCTGCCACACTTTTCCGACGAAAGGAATTTTGGAAGGAGGAAGGGAAGGAAAAACACAAGGGAGTGAGAAGGATCCCAGGAGGCCGAGATGCGTGCGACCAGGGTCAAAAGGACCAGCATGAGAAGACAGCAGGAAAGATAAGAAGCATACATAGCACAGCACATCATGTAGCGCAGGGACACCGCCTTGAAGCCAAGACAGCTCAGCCGCCCGAGTGATTTTGTGAATTTTGCGCACATGGCTACCTGCTGGCTGTGCGCTAAGTAGGGCTCGTGTGTGATGTGTGTCTGGCATGCGTGCTTTATCGGATTATGCCGCCTTTTCGGAATCGAACTTGGTGGTTGTTTTACCTGCATGGTTGCGACAAGCATGGCGGCTATGCACCGGGCAATTCCAGCAACAAAAACATGGTGAAACATGTCGAAGTCCCAGTGGTCCCAGTGCGCAGGAAGCGGCCGACCTTCGCGAACGCATCGAGGTGGCCAGGACACGGTCCGAGTCTCGGAGGCGGTCAAAAGCGACTTCGGGATCCCTCAGCCCTGCTAAGCCCAGGCTTGATGTGGTTTCGGCTTCGGTGGAACGTGCCGCAGAAAAGAAGGGCATCTTGCAACTGCTGGGTGATGCTGACAAGAAGGCCGGGCTTGGCATCATGGACGTGACATGTCGGTCTGGAGCCATAGAGGTTTCTGACCCTTATTCGAATAGGCCTAGATTGTGATTGTGGGATCCCACTTCTGGGCATGTCCAAGTTGTAGCTTAAACCCTAAACCCTAAACCCTAAACCCTAAACCCTAAACTTCGGAGGTTCTGGAGGCCGAGAAGGCAGTGGAAGCGGCTGCGGACTTGGCAGCTCCACTCCAGGAGCTCATGGCCGGTGAGGACGGTCTCGGGTTGGCGGTTTAGGGTTTAGGGTTTAGGGGTTTAGGATTTTAGGGTTTTAGGGTTTAGGGGTTTAGGGTTTAGGGTTTAGGGGTTGGCCGGCACCTCAGTCCGTGCTG